ATGTCGAAATGCACGTTTTGTGTGTCCTCAGCAAGGAAGGGGCTCTCCCGGCCTTAATTTGGGGCCAGTGAACGGAGTGATTGTGGCTCAGTGAAACGAGCTGTACCTTCTGCACGCAGGGRCCAAGCCAGCCGTGTTTCTGCAGCACGGGATATTCGGGGAAGGCAGCCACTGGGTGGAGAACCTGGCCAACAACAGCCTGGGCTTCATCCTGGCAGACTCTGGCTACGACGTGTGGATMGGGAACAGCCGGGGGACGCGCTGGTCCCGGCGACACCAGCACCTTTCAGCCGACCAGGTGGAATTCTGGGATTTCAGGTGGGCTGGAGCGCGGTACAAAAKCCTGGCAAGCTTCTGTGCCTGTCACCCGGCTCTAGGCAGAGGTGGTGCCAACAAGCAGGCAAGTCAGAGCACCGAGCCCCTGGCACGGTCTCGGCCCGGGGAGGAGCGGGGACCTGCGCAGACCTGCGGGCTGACACGGTGCCAGCGCCTCCCTGGGCGTGGGGACACGCAGACATCAGCCTTGCCTCGGGGATGGCCACAAGTGTCACTGCCACCTGCCCTGCTCCCGGACCTTGTCACCCCTCGTCCCCAAAAACAGCTTTTCAGGYGGCTGCTGCCTCTGCAGAGCAGATATCCCAAGCTCATGGACAGGCTTTTAGAAAAACCTTTCCAAAGACACACGGGCACGAAGCGGTGCTCCATGGCCCTCTGGGAAAGAGCATCCCGAGGTGCTGGAATCCCGGTTGGCTGTGGCACTGGAACGCTGGCCAGGCTCTGCACAGTCCATTTACTGCTCAGCACGGCCGCGGGAGGACTGAGCCCCTTCTRGGGAGGATGATGCCATGGCAGGAGGGATCCGTGCCAGGAATTGTCTCCTGGAAAATCAGTGTGTTCAGCCAGGCAACGCAAGGCAGCCAAATCTCACGGGTGAGTTTTTGCCTCGTAACCAACATCCCCCTCGTGTGTTGCAGCTTCCATGAGATGGCCATGTACGACCTCCCGGCCGCCATCGACTTTGTGCTGCAGAAAACAGGGCAGAAGCAGCTCCACTACGTTGGCCACTCCCAGGGCTGCACCATCGGTGCGTTCCAATGGGTTGCCTTGACTCGAAAACTTTCATTTTGCCAGCAGAAAGCAGAGGGGTCCTCTCCATGTGGGTTTAACAACCACTGGAGTGCCCGATCAGCCACAGGAATAAAGGTGTTGCCTCCCTTGGGGCATCTCTTGCACCGGCATTAACCGGGGAGGTGGCAGGAGGTCTCAGGTTWCCAAGTGGAGATAATTAATTAAACAGACCTGGGTCCAAGTGAACGCTCGGATTAAGCACCTRAGAAAAGCTGGAGCAGGTCTGAGGCGGTTTTTTTTTTCTGTTTTCCCAGCGTTTATTGCGTTTTCATCCATGCCTGAACTGGCTCAGMAGGTCAAAATGTTTTTTGCCCTGGGTCCAGTAGTGTCAACCAAGCACGCCAGGAGTCCCATCCTGAAGATGTCCTGCCTTCTGGACAAGAATCTCAAGATCATTCCGGTAAGGGATCACTCCATGCCCTTCTGTCCCAGAACTCGCTGGTTCTAGAGSAGGGATCGTGGCCAGAAACAGCCCCTGGAGCTCTCTGGTGCAGCAGAAAACAGTTAATTGCTGCTGATTTATTAGGACGGACACAATTCGGGTGCACGCACCGTCCTGGATGGCCGCTTTGTTGAGAGCATGTCATCCTTTGAGTAGGATGAAACTCCTCTTTGCGCAGGGACACTTGTAGAATTTGTAGACAAAACACCCGGAAAAGAGCAGCTTTGCTGCGTGGATTCCATGAAAAACAGATCCAAGGCTTGGGGGAGGTGGAGGGAAGAAGAGAGTTGTGAGTATTGATGTGCCTGGTGCGTGTTCATCATCATCAACTCCTGCAAGGAGCTCTGTGGGGACACTTCTCTGTGGGGCTGGAGACTGGGGGGGACAGGGTTCGACCCCTGGGCGTTCCCTCCCTGCCGGGATGGTGGGACAGTCATCCCGGGGCTGGGCTGCAGGGAGGGAAACGCAGGAAATGCCCGCTGCCCTTTGCTCCCACAGCTGCTGCTGGGCAGGACGGACGCGACGCTGCACATGAGGAAGCTGTGGAGGTTCCTGCCGGAGCTGTGCAGGCACAGGCTGCTGCACAGGCCCTGTGCCAACCTCTTCTTCCTGCTGGGCGGCCACAACGAGAAGAACCTCAACATGGTGGGTGTGCCATTCCCGGGGGCTCTGCTCCCACCCTGCCCAGCCTGCTCCGGCCACTCGCCCCCGGGGCTCACATCCTGCAACACGTGTCCCTCTGCCCTCCTGGGGCAGGAAATGTCCTCGGGCTCTGCTGGGTGAATGTCACTGGCCAGGTGGCCCTTGATGACACCCTGAGTTAGGGCTGTCACTGTCACSACCCCGGGRTGCAGCYCCTGCTCTGAGCCACCATCTGGGTGACCCCAGGCACCCACAGAGCACAGCCCTGAGCCCGGCTCAGGTGCCTCACGGAGCTCATCCTTCATCC